GGGGTGTTTTGGCGGGGGCGAGCCCCGCGGCGGGGGTCCGGGGGTGAAACCCGTACCCCGGCTTGGGCCCCGGGGATCCCCGCGTGACAACCCTGGTTGAAACGTTAAAGAGGTTCACCTTCGTGGAAGATGAGAAAAAGATTGTACAACCTATTGTGGGGAAAAGAAAGGTGTGCATTAGTGCATGGTGTTTCACACTGGGTGCGTGCAGGAATACATTTTTGAAGAAGAGGGTGACTTTGTCAAAAGGTTACATTATGCCGGAGCATGGCAGCACTGGACTCAGACGCATATCTGCAACATATGCGACGATGTTCGGGAAACTAAGCTCCTTTGTACGTGACAATGGAGATTCCATGCCCAATGACATGAGGATCAAAGATGGAGAATCACGAGTGGTTTTGAGATTGTCTGATTGCTATAACAAGGTTGACATTTATAAGTTGTTGAAGTCACAATTTAACAACCTGGATGTCCCTTCTGTTTCTCTCCAAGTTTTCTATAACATGTGGAAAACATACTTCTCGCATGTGAAATTCCATGAAGTTGATCAAAACTTTGCAAAATGCGAGAAGTGTGTTGAGTTCAAAGAATCTATCAATTCTGCGAAGTTCGTACGTGTGCGTGATTATTTCGTTTCGGAACGCGACAAACACTTGGACTTGCAGCTCCAACACCGTGTTGCTTATGAGGTGTGGAAGGATGAGTCGAAGAGACCTGGTTCCAACAATTTATGTATCATTATTGACGGTATGGACCAAAGCAAGGCGAGTATTCCACACTTTGGCGGAGAAAACAAGTCGAAGGCATTCGCGAATATTCCAATGATGAAAACAAATTTAACAGCTATTATCGCACACGGTCGTTCACCATCGGTGCATGTTCACACATGGTACCCTTGCTATCCACATGATTCCAATGTTGTGGTGTCATCTATTATGAAAGTTTTGCGTGACATACAGGCGACAAGCGACTTACCTCCTAAATTAAGGATACAAGCCGATAACTGCTGGAGAGAGAACAAAAACAAATACGTTTTGTCTTTGGCCGCAGCTTTGGTGAAATTTGGTTTCTTCAAAGAAGTACACATACGGACGTTGATACCACTTTCAGTCATTTCTCTCGCAAACTGAAAATGCACGATGCTTATACAATGCTCGACCTCTTCAAACCCGTTGCCAGTTCCCAAAAAGAGTGTCCTTTGTGCACATTCATGGATGAAATTGCTAACTGGCGGGGAGTTGTTAAGCCCTTCCTGGTCAACAGACTGACCGATCATACTAAGCCACATTTATTTAGGTTTTTTATGGAGGATGACAATCCTGTGTTCCAGTGGAAAGAGTATTGCACTTCTCCACACTAGTCTTCTCCGGTCTATCGTTTTAAGCGAGATGAAAATAAAGTATATGCTGAACCCGAATGACCATTCGAGCCTTCACCTGCTCTCCCTGTTAAAGAAACATCTCATGGTCAACCCGCTAAGGATAAGAATTCGGATTTCAAATCAGGAATTGAAGGCGTGAAGACGTTTGTTGAGTGGTTGGAAAACTAGCGGCACGAGTGGTTGGGAATGAAAGATGAGGTTAGCTTCTCAAAGGAGAGTGCTCTTTCACACTGGAAAACTTTCCTGGACACAATCGAGCAAAATTATGGGTCTGGCTTTGCGAAAACATCACTCAAGGCTGGTTTTTGGCCTTCGTAGGAAAGAATTATGAAGGACGATGCTGAGGATATTGATATTGCCTTCCTCTTCGAGAGCAATGAGAATAAGGAGTCGTTGTTCGTTGGGCCAGCCAATGAGCGCCCAAAAGCAGAGCTCGACCCGGTTGTGGATGTCGAAAAGGGACAATTCGTTCTCTTTCGTCCTTCGCAAGATGATATCGATCAGGGAGTTCTCGTGTGGATGAGTAGAGTCATTTCTGATATTGACAACGATAGGAAGTTGCCTTCTTTCAATCATGTTCTTATTGAATATTGGGTGCCACAACCTGTCGTCAAAATTTTTTCTCTGCAATATGCAAATGCATGGAAGAAGATACGGAAGAAAGACAACACAACAGCACAACAGTGGCAGCACGTGAACCGTGTTTTGTGGAGCTGGTCATCAACGACGTTGCATTTGGAAAATGGAGTGCACATTTCCAAATCGGTCAGAGAGAAGGCCCTGGCATGTCTTTCACTTCCCGATGATGAAGACCAATAGGATAAGTCGCTGAGAAGGCCTCATTTCGTGCGTGTTGGTGTATCATTTACTTATCATTGAACTTCCATTCATATATAGTTAAACTATATTGCATTGGTTTGCCTTTTACTTCCGTATGGTGAAGATTAGTAGACTTTAAGTACATCATTGAGAAGAGGTAATCATATTTCATTCGAGCGTATTGCTGTATCAATTAGTTGTCATTGAGCTTCTGTATTTCATGTGTTGCAGAATGGTTCATTCAACGACTGGATGGCAGCCAAGCAATATGGTGTGGGACAGAAATGTATGGCATGATATGGGGTCTATCTTTTTCACACCTGAAGTGGTTTTCGATGGTGCAGTACTCAGTGTCAGAGGTGTGGATGTCGCACCGGATT